TTTTTTTTTGGTATTAATATTTTTGAGTTATCTGTATATTCTAGAGATTAGTGCTCTATCCGATGTGCATGTGGTAAGAATTTGTTCCCAATTAATAGGCTCTCTATTCACCTCACTGAATGTTTTGCTGAGAAGCTTTTTAATTTGAATCCATCCCAGTTATTGATTCTTCATATTAATTCTTGTGCTATAGGAGTCTTATTAAGAAAGTTGGGGCCTAATCCCACATGATGAAGATTTGGGCCTACTTTTTCTTCTAATAGATGCAGTGTCTCTGGTTTAATTCCTAGATCCTTGAGATACTTTGAGTTGAGTTTTGTGCATGGTGATAGTTGTGCATGGTGAGAGATAGGGGTTTAATTTCATTTTGTTACATATGGATTTCCAGTTTTCCCAGCACCATTTGTTGAAGAGGCTATCTTTTCTCCAATGTACGTTTTTGGCACCTTTGTCAAATATAAGATAACTGTAATTATGTGAGTTAGTCTCTGTGTCCTCTATTCTGTATCATTGATCTACAAGTCTATTTTGGTGCCAATACCATGCTATTTTTGTTACTATTGCTTTATAGTATAGTTTAAGATCTGGTATAGTGATGCCACCTGTTTCACTCTTCTTGCTAAGGATTGCTTTATCTATTCTGGGGTCTCTTATTTTTCCAGATGAATTTCATGATTGATTTTTCTATTTCTATGAGGAATTTCTATGAGGAATGTCATTGGGATTTTGATTGGAATTTCATTAAGTCTGTATAGTGCTTTCAGTAGTATGGTCATTTTGAAAATATTAATTCTACCTATCCAAGAACAAGGGAGATCTTTCCATCTTCTAAGGTCTTCTTTAATTTCTTTCTTTAGCAATCTGTAGTTTTTTTGTTGTAGAGGTCTTTCACCTCTTTTGTTGATTCCCAAGTACTTTATTTTATTTTTTGATGCTATTGTAAATGGGGTAGTTTTCCTCGTTTCTCTTTCAGAGGATGTGTCACTGATATACAGAAATGCCTTTGATTTATGGGTGTTGATTTTGTATCCTGCTACTTTGCTGAATTCATTTACTAGTTTTAAAGTTCTCTGGTGGAATTTTTTGGGTCTTCTAGGTATAGAATTATATCATCGGCAATGGTGCTATTTTGAATTCTTCTTTACCTATCCGTGTCCCTTTCATTTCTTTCATCTGTCTGCTGGGTTGCTCGTGACTAAAACACTCAGGGGTCACTCCAAGGGAACTGGGCTGCATGAAATAACCACACAAGAGACAGAAATACCTTTTGCTTTGGGGGTGCTGTGACAGCTCCTCTGTCCTTAAAGGTCTGCAGAAAAAGGGAGAGAGAGCACGTGCTGACCCCTTTTATTGAAGAGAAGTTATTCAAATGAGGCAAGGGGCCAGGTTTCAAGGAGCTGAATCTAACTTCATGATGTCTGCTGTCAGCAGGTTGACTGACATCTAAGTAGGCCACACCCAAGGGCATAGTAAGAGAAGGGGACACTCAAAAGGCATTTCCATGGAACATTCTATCTTAAACAGGGTAAAGGATAATATTACAAAGGAACAGGTGAGCATAGCTCCACCTATGGGGCTGTAGGAAGGCATGCCCATGCACAAAACACAGTTACTAGAACCCTAGAAGATTGGGGCTATCCAGCAGAATGACCGCTGCCAGATGCCACACTACTCACCAGGGGAGTTGGACCCAGTCACATGCTAGTCAGCCTCCCACATCTGTCTAATTGCTCTGGCCAATGTTTCAAGAACCATGTAAAATAGAAGTCGTGAAAGAAGGCATCCCTGTCTTGTTCCAGTTTTTAGAAGGAATGTGTTAAATTTTTTCTCCATTTAGAAGGATGTTGGCCCTGGCTTAGCATAGATAGCTTTTACAATGTTGAGCTATGTCCCTATTGTCCCTAGTTTTTCTAGTGTTTCGATGCTGCATTTTGTCTAATGCTTTTTCTGCCTCTATTGAGATGATCATATGGTTTCGATCTTTAAGTCTATTGATGTGATGAACTACATTTATTGATTTCCATATGTTGAACCAACCTTTCATCCCTGGAAAAACCCTACTTGATCATTTTGATAATTTTTTATTTGATTCGCCAGAATTTTTTTGAGAATTTTTGCATCTATGTTCATTAGAGATATTGGTCTGAAGTTTTCTTTCTTTGATGTGTCTTTGCCTGGTTTTGGAATCAGGGTGATATTGGCTTCATAGAATGAGTTTGGAAGTGTTCCCTCTTTTTCAATTTCCTGAAATTGAAAAAAAAATTGTATTGGTATTAGTTCTTCTATAAAGGTCTTGTAGAAATCGTCTGTGAATCCATCTGGTCTTGACTTTTCTTGGTTGGTAGGCTTCTGATGTCATCTTCTATTTCATTACTTGAAAATTGATCTGTTTAAATTGTGTATATCATCCTGATTCAGTTTGGACAAATTGTATGACTCTAGAAATTTGTTGATGCCTTCAATATTTTCTATTTTATTGGAGTACAAGTTTTCAAAATAATTTCTAATTATCTTCTGTATTTCTGTAGTGTCTGTTGTGATATTTCCTTTTTCATTATGTATGTTAGTAATTTTAGTTTTCTCTCTCCTTTTTGTTAGCATGGCTAAAGTTTTGTCAATTTTATTTATTTTTTTCAAAGAACCAACTTTTTATTTTGTCAATTTTTTCAGTTGTTTTTTTTGTTTCAATTTCATTGATTTCAGCTCTGATTTTAATTATTTCCCATCTTCTACTGCTTTTAGCATTGATTTGTTCTTCTTTTTCTATGGCTTTAAGATGTAATATTAAGTCATTTATTTGTTGACTTTTCTTTTTTTAAGGAATGAACTCCATGCAATGAACTTTCCTCTTAGTACTGCCTTTATAGTGTCCCAGAGATTTCGATATGTTGTACCTGTGTTCTCATTCACCTCTAAAAATTTTTTAATCTCCTCCTTGATGTCTTCTGCAGCTTATTGTTCTTTCAGTAGCATATTATTTTGTCTCTATGTGTTGGAGTAGCTTCTATTTCTTATTTTATCATTGATTTCTAGTTTCATTCCATTATGATCTGATAGAATGTAGGGTAGTATCTCTACTTTTTTATATTTGCTAAGAGTTGCTTTGTGGCATAGTATATGGTCTATGATCCTTCTCTAAAAGAAGGATCCATGTGCTGCTGAGAAGAAAGTATATTCCTCATTGAAGGATGAAATATTCCATATATGTCAGTCAAGTCTAAGTTATTGATTGTATTATTGATTCTATAGTTTCTTTGTTCGGCTTTTGTTTGGATGATCTATCCAGTGTTGAAAGAGGTGTCTTAAAGTCACCCAGAATTATTGTGTTGTGGTTGATTTGACTCTTGAACTTGAGAGGAGTTTGTTGAACATAGACGCTCCATTGTTTGGGGCATATAAATTTATTATTGTTGTCTTGTTGATAAATGGTTCCCTTAAGCAGTAAGAAATATACTTCTTTATCCCTTTTGATTAACTTTGGCTTAAAGTCTACTTTATTTGATATGAGAATGGAAACCTCTGGTTGCTTCCACAGTCCATGTGAGTGGTGTGATTTTTCCTAACCTTTCACTTTCAGTCTGCGGATGTCTGCTCCTATGAGATGAGTCTCTACTCTAGGAGGCAGCATATTGTTGGGCTTTTTTTTTTTTTTTTTTTTTGGTCCAATCTGCTAGTCTGTCTTTTGATTGATGAGTTTAGTCCATTAACATTCAGGGTTATTATTGAGATGTCTCAGCCATTTTTGTTTATTTTTGGTATTTAACTTGACTTGATTTCCCCTCTAATTAGTTTTTCCTTTAGTGCAATACCTCCCTCTGCTGATTTTCATTATTGTTTTTTACTTCCTCTTTGTGGAATATTTTGTCGAGGATGTTCTGCAGTGCAGGCTTTCTAGTTGTAAATTTTAACTTTTGTTTATATGGAAGGTTTTTATTTCATTATCAAATCTAAAGCTTAATTTTGTTGAATATAAGATTCTTGGTGGCTGGGTTGTGGTTCAGTCATAGAGCTCTCGCTAGCACATATGAGGCACTGGGTTCAATCTTCAGCACCACATAAAAATAAATAAAATAAAATTGTGTCCATATACAACTAAATAAAAAAATTTTTTTAAAAAGATTCTTAGTTGGCATCCATTTTCTTTCAGAGCTTGGTATATGTTTTTCCATGATTTTGAGGGTCTGGGTGAAATGCTGAGATAAGAACTGGTCTCCCCCTATATGTGATCTCTTGCAGCTTTTAAGATTCTATCCTTATTCTGTATGCTAGGCATTCATTATAATGTTCCTTGGTGTAGATTTGTTGTAATTTTGTACATTTGGTACCCCGTAAGCCTCTTGTATTTAGTTTTCCAAATTCATTTTTCCTGTTTGGGAAATTTTCTGATATTATCTCATTGAAGAGATTGTGCATTCCTTTGATTTGAAACCTCTGTGCCTTCCTCTATCTCAATAACTCTTAGATTTGGTCTTTTGATGCTGACCCATAATTCTTGGATGTTCTGTTCATGGTTTCTTACTATCTTCACTGTGTGGTCAATTTTATTTTCCAGATTGTATACTTTGTCTTCATTATCTGTCATTCTTTCTTCCAAGTGATCTAGTCTGTTGGTTATACTTTCTATTGAGTTTTTTATTTGGTTTATTGTTTTCTTCATTTTAAGGATTTCTGACTTTTTTTTTTTCAGAGTCTCCATCTCTTTCTTGAAGTAATCTTTTGCTGCCTGTATTTGCTCTCTTCTTTGTGGAGTGATCAATTTTTGCTCATTTAGGTTATTCTTTAGTTCATAGATCATTTTAATTATGAACCTTCTGAACTCCTCCTCTGACATTTCATCAACTTTGCTGTCTATGGGTTCTGTTATTATAGTATCCTGGTTTGTTTGGGGCATTTTCCTACCTGTTTTTTCATGTTGTCTATGTGTCTTTCTTTCTTGCAGTGTGGATCTGAGCTATTACAGTTTCTACCCTGTATTCTTGGAGTATCCATGCAGATTGTTTGTACCTAACCTTGATGTTGGGCTTCCAGACCCTGCTGGTGTCCCTCAGTGTATGCTACTGCAACTAAAGGTGGTGGCAGCAATAGCCGAGGTAACTGGAGATAATAGTGGAGGTGCCCCAAGATGGATGCAACATCTTACAGAGATGGGGTTGAAAGTGTGGGCTTAACACTGTCTTTGGCATGCCTGCTCTGAAATGAAGCTGCTGCTAGGCCCTGTCTGGTGTCAAAAGATAGGGGCCACTGCATGAGGATGGATATGGTAATGTCTGCAGTGTCCTAAGATGGAAGTGATTAGGTTTGGGCTACCAGGTAGGGAGGGGAGTGGCAGACTCAGACCTAACCTGGGCCTGGGTCTGGTGTATGTCCGTGTAGGCAGATCTGGGCTGGGCCTGGGCTCCGGCGGTTGTCTGCTGGTCAAGAGAGGCAACCCTGTGCAGGAGCCTGAGCTCTAGCGGATGACTGCCAGTGGTAGCATGGACCCTAACCCTACTCTGAGCCTGCATCCCACACAGGTCGGTGTGGGAGGATCTCTAAAATTGTGAAATTTTTGAAATAATTCCTCTGAAATAGTTTTGTGTTGGGGAAACTGTATTGCATATCAATAAACTCAAATCCTTCACAAACTTCAGGTATACTCACAAAAAAAATTGTAAGTAATCTCAAAATGAAAAAGATAGGTATACTGTTTATAAATGCATTTTTGAATTCTAAGAAGGATCAGGAAGAACTTCAGAATGATGTAAGTGATCATTTAAACTCATGAAATTTTTAATAAACTGTTGAAGTATTTAACAAAACTTAATGAAGTCTAGGGTTGGGGGTGTAGTCAATGGTAGAGTGCCATGCATGAAGCCCTAGATTGAATCCCTAGCACTGGGAGTAAAAAAAAAAAAAAAAAAAAAAAAAGAACTTGATAAATTCTAAAGCCTTATATTTTCAATTTATATTGCTTTGGCCATATTTGAAATTTTTATTTTACAAACTATGAGAAAAACCTATGAAATGACTATCCTTGCAGTTTCTCAAGGAATGACAACTCAAAATAAACTTGAGTTAGTATTTTACTTCCATTAGATTAGCAAAATTGTTATTAAATTGTAATACCCACTACTGGTGAAGAGATAATTAAAATGATACTCACATACTTTTGGTGCTTTTATGAATATTACAACCTTTTTAGAAAGGAACATGGTAAAACACAAGAAAACTATTAAAAAATCTTTTCCCTTTTCCTCCCCCTTCATTCCTGGGAATTTGCCTGAGGAAATAACATGAGAAAAAAATATATACAAAAGACGTTTATTGAGCATTATATATAATAGAATTAACTTGGGAAAAAAAGCTAAATATCAAGATAAAAAAATGAGTAAGTTATGGTCCACTAAAGTGATACTTTAAAGATTGGCCAAAAATAATGCAAAAATTGTGAAGAAACAAACATTTATTGTAGTCATAATGTTCTCATTGCATAGAATTTTATTTATCACATTTTTATTATATTGTCTAATGGATTCATACTAGGAACAGTGCTACCTACCCCCCGAACCTGTCATCAATATGTCAACCATATGAGGAAGAAGAGGAAGGATGAGGCTTAAGACTAAAAGGGGAAAACCCTTAAAAAAGGCTGTATCATCCACCTCAGGCCAGGATTCTTCACAGAAGGACTATGGAAGTCAGAAGCCCTAAGTGAGTATCCATTTTAAAGTAGACACCCTTATCCCCATGGAGCTTTTTCTTACAATGCTGTGTCATGTATAACCTTAAGACATGTTGCTTGCCTTGTTTTTTCTTCTCTGAGCATCAGAATTTTTATTCTAGAAGCTGGATAGAAAACCTAGTCCACTTATCTATACCAACTTAAAAGAATTTTAATACAGGGCAATAAAATAGAAGTTATCATTTTTTTTAATGTTCACATGTACAATGACCTAAAAGTGATACCACCAAAGTGAAAATAGTAGTTGGATACATCCTTTAATTTTTTAAATTTTTATTAAAATTTGTCACATCTGGGGTTGGGGATATAACTCAGTTGGTAGAGTGCTTGACTCACATGCACAAGGCCCTGGGTTCAATACCCAGCACCAGCACCCAAAACAAAGTTACATCTGTATAGTGAATTTTGTTTAGTGGATTGGCTATTCTCCTTTTCTCCTCCTTTTCTTTTCTCTTTGTCTGCATTGCTGGGAATACAGCCAGGGCTTCAAGTTTGCTGAAAAAGCCCTCTACTACCCTCCCACCCCATGCACAGCCCTCTTTTCCCTTTGAAGAAATAATTAATGGAGACATGCCCTATCAAAAAGAATAAACACAATAAAAATCTAGAATTCCATACATCATCTTTCATTTGACTGACATATCCTTGTAGTCCCCTTTCCCTGCCCTTCCTTCCTAGGATGTTACCCCAAACCTCAAACCCTTTAGCCTTTGCACAGAATGCTCCCTCTACCTAGAATGTTCTTTACTGTCCCTAGGCCTACCTAAAAACACCTTCTCATCCTTTAAATTCCAGTTCTCAGGTGCCTTCTTTGATATTTCATCAACTCTTCACTACCATCATTCCCTCTTAGTGCAATCACCATATTCTATATATCTTTATTGTTGTGTTTATCATATTGTATTACAATTATTTGCATATAAATTCTCTCTCCTAATAGTCTGTGAATCTTTGAGGACAGGGACCTTGTCATATTTACTTTTAAATCCCCAAAAGCTAGCACAATGGATGGCATACAGCATAGTAGTCAAGAACTATGCTGTTATTGTTCATTACATTTTTAAGGAACTCACTAGGTGTTAGTTGATTGAATGAATTAATAAATGAAGCATTAAACATATTTTGTCTCTATGCAGGTATCTAAATCCAAGCTCAGATGATGGAAAATTAGTCCTCTTTCTTCTGTATTCTCCTTCTGTCTCCTTTTATTCTTTGTCCCTATTTGTCCCTCTCAATTAATTTAGTGTAACTTTACATATATGCACATTAAAAGCTTTCTTCAAAACAAAGTCTGTTTACTTTTTTATGAATATAATGTGAATTTTAATGTAGAATTATTTTATACTTGATATAGATTAAAGCCTCAGAATGTCTTATTGCAGTCCTAACCATAATTGTCAGAGACTTAAAGTATGTCATTTTTATTTGATGTAATAAAGGGAGTAAGAATATTTACATGTCTCCCAAACTAGATTATTTCTAACAACATTATTCATATCCTATATTAATAGACCTTGAGCTAGTTAAAATTCGTTGTGAATAAAAACAATGACTCCCTAAGAGAATAACAGGAGATAATATCTACATCAAAAAATAATAAATACACAAAGTAAATGAACAGGTTTCTACAGCCTACTTACATTGTCATAGTGAAAACAAGTACTTATAACTTTTTATGGTTACAGTACTTATCACATTTCACTGTAGTTATTTGTTTCCATGCTTGTCAGAGATGTATCTATGTTTGTTTTTTGGGACAGGGTCTCTCTGTCTTTCCCAGGTTGGTCTTGAACTCAGGGGCTCAAGTGATCCTCTTGCCTCAGCTTCAGGCAAGAGATATTAAGTATTTTAAATTAATACTTAAAGTCAAAATTGCTTATAACTCAAAGAATTTCATGTAATAATTGGTAGTACCATAAACTCAGTAGGAATCTCTCTAAAATTTACTGGATATATTGGATTTTCACTCTAAATTTTCATTCTGATATATATAATGAGACATGTCAATTGGACATTGATTTTTAGGTGTTAATACCAGGATGGATGATTAATCAACATTATCTAGAAAATGTACTACCTATGCCATAAATTCATAATATTTTAATTTATGATTAATTGATTTTATTCAATTTTATATATAGTATTCATGGGAGAAGAAAATCAAAAGTTATTCCCTATAGAAATTTTGATTAAGGATATTTTTCCTAAGACTTTTTTTAATTGATTGACTTGGTTTGTTTTGTTGGTTGGCTGTTTTTTGTTTTGTTTTGTTTTGCTTCTAATTCAAACTTTAATGAAAGGCAAGAAGGCAAACTCAACAGGTTTATTAAATTTATTATGTTAGCATCCTAAACTAAATCCTCTTCCTGTCCCCTTTATTTTTGTCAATAGTATTATTCTCCCTGGTAATCAAGAAGGAAACTTCATAGTGTGGTGTACTTCTCTTTCTTTCCTATTTCTCTCCTCCAAGGTACAGAACTTACTCCTCAATGCAGAACTTACTGATAGATTTTGGATGAAGTAGGTAAAGGAAAGTGAAATGACTCCTAGGGTTCCTACTTGAGCAATTGAATAGATGGTATGGGCAATTTAATGATATGGAAAAGAAAAAAAAGGCCAACATTTCAGGGGTAAAAATTTTTATCAGGATGCTTTTGGTGGCAAATAATAGAAAAATTCAATTTGAGTTAATCCTTAAGGAACTACATTATTTCAGAGATAGGAAGTCAAGAAATGGAGAACTCCAGATGTGGTTAGTTAAATCTCTACTTCTCAGTGATTCTCTGTTTTTCCTCCCCTGATATTGGTTCTGTCCTCACATTAGTAGAAAGATAGCTTTCAGTTATGAGGACTGCACAGATATTGTACTTGGATATCCAAATACAGTAATATCAAGAGGAAATCAAGTCTATACTGGCTGAAGGGGAGAATCCCTGTCTACACTAGGTCAAGGAGAACAAGTATCCATCGACAATGACTGAAGGCAAATGCATTCCCATCTACACAGGCTCAAGGTGAGCGAGTCTCTACACTAAACAGGAGAGGGAGGCACAGTGATCCAGGACTTGGAGAAGATGGCTGGTGGGCTTCTACCCGTTCCCTGAGCCTTCTTTTTTTTTCCTTTCTTTTTCCTAATCTGCCTTTTTAAAAAATCTTTGGAATGTCAATTTCATTGTACAATTGTGAGAAACAGAAATTTATTAAGTACAATCTCTGCTATCCCAGAAGCACGGAACAACGAAATATGAATGACACCCAGGTTCCAGACATCCACCAGGGGGCCCTCATAGTCTTTCCACTGGCGACTTTAGTGACAAAGTACAGGAGAGTGCCCCAGTACTTGTTCGCCTTCTACCCAGTGGTGAACCTGGTGCTCAGGCCAAAGTCAGTAGTTTCATGTTGCCTCTGGCATCCACCAGGATATTCTCTGCCTTCAGGTCTAGGTACCCACTGCCCTTCTCATGGCAATAGTACAGACAATAGTACAGGACCTGCCTGAACTGGCCTCTTCCTCTTGCATGCCACTGGCTTCTGGGCTGCAGTGCCATAAATGTCCCCCACCCACATGCTTCATAAATGTTTTTGATGGTCTCAATGCTCAAAAGAGCCAAATCACATTTCAGTATTCCATTACCATCATCACATCTGATTCAGATAGGACAGACATGTTCCACTCTACCTTTGGCAGAATTTTCACTGCTGCTTTTGTCCTGTGAGGAGATGATGGGTTAGTTTCACCTCTGTCTGATGTCCCTTAAGACCTGAAGTGGTCCACGAAGGTGGTTTCATACCGGAAGCTGGACCCCTACAGCACTACACTACTCTGTCTATTCTCATACACATCCTAAACCGGAATACCAACTAAGAATGCTAGCTAAAAAATAAATAACAAGAAAAAAACCCACAAATCAAAAAACTAATATCAAAAGACCACAACTGGGCTGGGGTTGTGGCTCAGCGGTAGAATGCTCGCCTCTCACATGTGAGACCCTGGATTCCATCCTCAGCACCACAAAAATAAATTAGTGAAATAAAGGTGTGTGTCCAACTACAACTAAAAAATAAATATATTTTTTTTAAAAAGACTACAACTACCAACCACAAAATGTGCTATCTGGGAGTCCAATAGGTCACCATAAATAGCTTCCTGTATTTATGGACAAAAATCCAGTCCTAGCTACCCTCCTATATAGCCTGTGTTTTAAACTCCCTCACAGTGGCTCCTTGTGAGGTCAGAGCAAACAATGGCCAGTGGTCATCTCTTGGCCTCCAGGACTTTTCCACTATCACAATAAGAATAAGGACTCTGGAAACTTTTTGCTTCAATGGGCTGTGGAGACTGATATTCACTTGTTTAGAAATTAAAATTTGTAGGATACATAATAATAATAATATCATCAAGAGGAAAGGAAAGGTCACACTGTCTAGTGACTACTTTTCCAGAAGCAGACATCCTATTGTATCTCATTGGCTCAAACTCACATGCCTATCTTAAATAGTGATAGCACTAACAAGAGGAATGAGATAACCATGGTTGGATTAGATTCATCAAGTTCTACCCCTAGAAAAGGACAGAGTCATTTACCCTGAGCCACAGGATGGGGACGCATATGAGAAAAACTAAAAAAAAATTCTAACTCTGCCAATAAGAAAAAAGGAGAGGCCAGGCATGGTGGCACAGGCTTATAATCCCAGTGGCTCAGAAGGCTGAGGCAGGAGAATCGTGAGTTCAAAACCAGCCTTAGCAATGGCAAGGCGCTAAACAACTCAGTGAGACCATGTCTCTAAACAAAATACAAAATAGGGATGGAGATGTGGTTCAGTGGCTGAGTGCCCCTAAGTTCAGTCCCCTGTTGTCGGGGGCTGCCCTGAACAGGAGCTATGCACACACCTTTAAGTCCTGAGTAAAGAGGTACTGCACTGGAGTTGCACCTTGCAATGCAACTGGACTTTTCCGCCACTCGGATAAGAAAGGTACAGCTCTGTGAGTGGGCATCACCCAATGGAGTTGAATTACACCCACCTGTTTGTTGTAGTCCTACCCTTTTGCCCTTTTTTGGATAGAATGTTCCATAGATTAGCTCCCCCCATTAATAAAAACCCAGGTTTGAGGTGTGCTTCTCTCTTTCTTACCTGCCTTGCTCCTTGGTGGGAGCTGGGTCAAAGGGGCTATCACAGAACCCAAAGAAAAAGGTATTTCTCGGGGGCTGGGGTTGTGGCTCAGTGGTAGAGCTCTTGCCTAGCATGTGCAAGGCCCTAGGATTGATCCTCAGCATGACATGAAAATAAATAAATAAAATAAAAGGTATTGTATCCAACTACAACTAAAAAATAAATATTAAATATATATCCCCTAAAAAAAAAGAAAGAAAAAGATATTTGTCTGTGTGTCATTATTTCATGCCAGTTCAGTTCTCCTGAAGTGACCCTTGCAGCACCCAGTAACCCCCCCCCAAAAAAAAGAAAAAAGGAATTCATAGTAACCAATAGCATCTGCCACAAAAATTAATAGTTCTGTTTTTGCAGGTGTTAAGATTTATATCTATAAAACATTCACATGAAAAGATCAAAAAGGTAAATGGAAATGTGAATCTGAAGCTTAGAGAAAGGTCCCAGATGGGTATATAAACTTGGGAGTAAAAAGCATTGTTTAGTCCGTGAGATTAGATTTAGATGAACCAGGAAGAGAAGATAGAGAAGAGAACTTTAAATTGATCATCTCTAAAGCATAGATAATAAGATTACATGTTTTATTGGATTATTATAAGTCAATTGATAGGAGTATAAGGCATTGTATACATAATGAACACTTGATATCTATTAATTATGTGCAAATTAATATCTCTGATGACAAACTTCATTCATAATAACTAACATCCCAGTTGAAAATATATTTCAATATATTCCAAATATCACACTTCATAGATGATTGCCTATTGTACTAACAACTTGGAATGTCTAATTAATTCCAAGTTCTGTTTTTAAATAATTACTAATATAAATGCATGACTAATTTTTGAACACCATAAAATATGCTTGTTATCAAAACACACCACTTATAATTTAATTTTATTTAATGAATCAAAAATTTGTCACCACGTTGATTGATATCTCTGTTTTCATTTTATCACCAATTGTGAGAATATTAGTTAATATGACATAACACCATTATATTAATATTCATTCTCTTTCTCTCCCTCCCTCTCTCTCCCCCATCCTTCTCTCTCTCTCTCTCTCTCTCTCTCTCTCTCTCTC